CCTCGCCACAGCTTTCCACAATCTACTTCCACACCAAAAACGACCCAAAATTCGTCCTCAGCTGTTCTCCCACTGCCAAACGTCGCTTTCTGACGGCGCTTAAAATATTCTCTTCTTCTCATCTCCCAAAAGCCGTTCTCGAGCCCCAAACTCGGCCTCAGCCGATGTGCACACCACAGACGATCAAAAGCTGTTCTCGAGCCCCAAGCCCGGCCTCAGCCAAAACCAGTCTCGACATGCAGTCTTTCCAGCTAATATATCTTTCTTCTGATGGCCGCTTAGCTCCATTGACAGCTCCAGCAGCTCCCCAGCGGCTCCGAAGTACATCCAGGCCTCGAAGGACTTGTTCCGGATGGGGCACTGTTCTCTGGCGCGCTCCCCCTCCGTCGGCTGGGGTCGGCGGATATACATACACTACTGCGCGACTGTACACATATAGTTTTTGGTCTTGGGGGTCCGCGCGCGCCGTTCAGCCATGTGTTTGTTGAATTGTGTGGAATGTGCCATGCGTGGTATCGCCAGGGGAATCTGTAGCCCGAATTTGTCGCCACACCGTGCCCCTAGGATGGGCAGATATGGGCAGTGTGTCTGGTCGCCAGCGTCACGTCCAAACTAGGATCCCCTTCTACGGGTACCCGGTTCAAAAAGACATATATAAGATCCCTACCCTCTTAAGCTACTTCCGGGAGGGGGGACCTCAAAAAAGTAAGTTACATTTTAGTGTACCCCCCTAGGGGGTCAAAAAATGTAAGTTACCACCCCCCAGGCACCATCAAAACTAGTCAAGCAGGGGGGGGGCAAAAAAATGTAACTTAGGGCCTACGTGCTTTCTTACATGTTTCCACCCCCCCCTGGGGGGGTCGGCAGATCGGGGGAGGGGGGGGGTCTGGAAAATGTAACTTGGGACCTGGGAGGCCTGAACTTACATTTAAGAACCCCCCCCCCCAGGGTGTGTTGGCAGATCGAAGGGATGTGTGGGAGGTCTAAAAAATGTAAGTTGCAACCTGGCAGGCTTAGAGTTACATGTGTTTAAGACCCTCTCCGGTTGATCTTGAGCATGATGCTTTTGAACAAAGCATCCACCACGGCCCCTCCCTGTCGGCGCAAGCTTCCAGACGCCACCAATGAAGCCAAGCGGAAATCCTGATGATACACACGCACAAACTGATGCATCAACGCCAAGGAAAAGGACACAGGTGAGATTTGCAGACGTGAAAAATTGTAACTTACAATTAGTCCATGCAACCAAACCCTCAGATTTTGCAGGGAATACGTGGGTTCTGGGATCAAGTTGGACCTCACAAATTGTAAGTTACATTTTTAGCACATGCCCAACTTCTCAGAATTTCAATTAACTGGAGTGTCCCCCTGCATTACTTACATTTTAGCACGCTGAAAATCACTCATGTCCGATGTCACGAAGCGCAACCAGGTGGCAAGCCTCTCCCTGTTGTGGCTGATCTTGTGGCTGTTATTTTTTGCTGATGATGACTCATGTGTGTTATCTGCAGCAACAAGCCACACAAAAGTAATCAAAGGATATTAAGGGATATTGCAGGATTTGTTACCTTAGTGTGGGGTTTTGTTTTGTTTGGCTTTGTGTGTGTGGCTGATCTTGTGGCTGATCTTATGGCTGTTATTCTTTGCTGATGATGACTCATGCAGCAACAAGCCACACAAAAGTAATTAAATGATGGGGATATTGCAGGATTTGTTACCTTAGTGTGGGGTTTTGTTTTGTCTTGGCTTTGTGTGTGTGGCTGATCTTGTGGCTGATATTCTTGCTGATTGTGACTCATGTTTGCTTTCTGCAGCAACAAGCCACACAAAAGTACTTAAAGGATATTAAAGGATATTGCAGGCACACCCAGAAAAAACCTACAGGAAAGGGAAAGAGGGCACACCCACACAGACAAACTGATGCCTCCCAATACTCCCAATAAGGAAAGCATAGCCTCCAAAAATATGAGTCATCATCAACAAAGCAGAACAGGAAATGTGTCAAGTTACATGTGTCAAGTTTCAACTTCTAGGATAGGGGGTGTCTAAAAATGTAAGCGCTCCATTGTGCCTCAAAAATGTAACTTACATTTTTGAGGTCATTCCCCGGGAAATCACCCATGAGGCCTCAAAAATGTAAGTTACTTTTTTGAGGCCACCTCAAAGTTAATGTAATTACATTTTTTGCGGCCCTACGGATAGGAAAATGTAACTTACAATTTTCGACGTCCCCCCTCAGGAAGGGGTAGGGATTATATAAGTAATAATACTTGCGTATGTGTAAGTGTAGTTTTTGAAAAAGATATGAGCATCCGACAAAATCCAATGCATACTAAAGTAGTCACAGGGTGGTCTTGGGAAATCCTGCATCAAGCCTGCATAACCGATGGGGGCCGACCCGCCTACCCATGCCCTTTCGATGCAAAACCACTAAAGGAAGCACGCTGCCACGTTACACGTGTAGCTGGCCCAAACACTTGGTATGCTGATTTTCTCAGCTTGAGATTGAGTTGCTTACGGCAGTGTCCAAGACGTGTTGCAGGACCTACAAATGTCCAACCACGGAATAGCTTTCTCACCGCAATGCTTTGCCGATGCCCCAACAGATGCCCAGATTGAACATGTTTGTGTCCATGCAAGAGTTCAAAGTGCATGTGCCCATGGGAGAGCAGCTTCCCCACAACTTGACAACCACTACTGCACAGGAGAGACCAGCACAGGTGGTAGGAGTCCCAGGAGAGGCCGAGTTCGAGAAGGGTTCCAGCGACAGCAGCGAATCCAAGGAGAAGGAGAAGAAGAAACGCACGAAGAAGAAGAAGAAGAAGAAGTCGTTCAAGGTGACTGGCAAGAAGGATTACGGGTCCCTTTTTGCCGGTACCGGCCTGGACAAGGATGCAAAGACGAGGAAGAAGGTATCCAGGTTGGCCAGGCGTGCTCTGAAGAAGAAGTCCAAGGGATTCAGCTCCACGGACTCAGGCGAGTCCACGGGGGAGTTGGGCGCCGCGGCTGGAGCGCGGAGGCGAGCGGATGGGAGGCTGCTGAACTGAGATGGTTTAGGAGAGTTTCTATCCATGCCCGATGAGAGTTGCCTTGAACGGCCATGGATGTGATTTTGGTTTGCTCGACGCTGCAGAGCTTTCAAGGAAGGAGCCGGGCTGGCCGAAAGGCTGTGAGTGACAAGAGGATCCTCACGAGAGCCCCGCGTGCGTCGACCGATGCAGTGATGGAAACAACAAAAGACCTCTTGTCATTCCTCCTGTTGTCCTCCTCTGGTCCTTGTTGTCCCCTTATTGTCCTTCTGCTGGTGTCCAGATGGCAGGGTGGCAGCATGAAGACATGACACCATCAAGCGCAATCAAAGGGTCCAATGCGTGAATACAAGCGCACGCCTAGTGGGACAGCCTGTCAGCATACATGACAACATGCGAGCTTGCACTGCAAAGCGGTGAGGCACTAGAAAGACAACTCCAGGAAACAACCGCAGAAACTGATGTCCTCTCCTTGTCATCCTGCTTGTCCTCTTCTTGCGGGGTTCTCCCCTGAGAAAACAAGTTGGCCACAGTGTCCGGCCGCGCCTCTTCTATTGCCTTCTTATTGTCCTTCTTCGAGTATTCAATGGCCGTGGTTGCCAGCACATCTCCGGTCTTAGCCCTTCCATCATCGTGTTGTCTTTCTCTTGTTTTCTCTTCCTATTCTCCTCTTGTTCTCCTCTTGGCATACTCATCCTGTTGTCCTTTTAGCGTAATCCGGTCACAGTTTGTCATTCTTTTGACCTCTTGGTGTCCTCCTTATGTCCCCCTTGGGTCTTTCTGTTGTTGTCCTGCTGTCGTGCTGTTGGGCTGCGTCCGCCCACGACAGCAATAATTCTTGTCAACTAAGCTGTTTGCAGTCTACGCTGGTATAAATTGGTGATAGTGAAGCTGGGTCCAGCGATCTAGATGCGTGTGTTATGCAGGCAGCCGAAGGAGTTGGTTTGTCAATCACCTTGGGTGGTCAAAATTTGATGAGCTGTCCTTGTTTGTTGCTATTGTACCTGCGCGTGCCATCACGGTAAATGGTATTATGAAGCTGTGCTTGGCAGCTTTCTGACCAGCATTTCGGTTCCAAGACAGACACGTAAGCAGCATGACCAAAGACATGCTGTCATGTGTCTACGTGTCAGCTGGGGTTGGAAACATGTCCAAACACGCACAAGGAAGTCTAGCAAATCAGGGGGACAAGACAATCAATGAATGGTTCATGCTAGCTGCTTGTAGATGCATGTTTCAAACTTAGCCATGAAAGCGGCAGCCTTGCACGCATTGCTTCTTCAGATTGTTGCTGCCCGGAAGTGGTGCTTGCAAAATGCGGGACAATGTTATGGCAATCAGCATGCCTTCACCAAGGTTGAGCATTTCCCTTGGGTCCAGTCTTGGGGCGTTGCTCATGCACGTTTGGCGGATATGGACAGCGATGGAGATTTGGATGCCCTTGTATTGAAGGAAGGCAAGTTTTGGTTCTATGAACGCAACAGCTCAGGGGATCTCATAGAAGGAACCCAGCTCAGGGTTCAATTCGCGCCTGACACTTCAATGCGCATCCACCATGACCATGATGAGCCAGCAATGGCGTTTGAATTAACGGATTGGGATCGAGATGGAGACCTTGATGTGATCCTCTCAGATGACGGCAGGCTCCGCTATTTCGAACACCTCCGCCCTGCCAATGCCTCGTTCTTCCTCATCGAACAGCAAGTCTCCGAGTTGGTCGTTTTGGATTCTTACATCGAAATTGTGCGCGAAACACGGCCATTTCCACTCTCTCACTCTCACACTCTCGAAATTGTCGATTGGAACCAAGACGGGCACCTAGATGTGATCGTTGATATGACCCGGTATTTTCAAAGTCACCATGGCAAGCTTCAAGAGATGCCAGCTGAACGCAATCCATTTCGCGACCTTCGTCAAACCGTGTGTGGGGATGACGAGTTAATGGCCATTCGATTGGCTGACTGGGATAACGATGGGGATCTCGATGTTATTGCTCATTGTGCTGGGTACTGTGTGCAATGGGGTTATTGCCAGTTGTCAGTAAGCTATGCAGAGCAGCTCGCAGATGGAACCTTTCTCATGGCTTTGTCTGGCTGGGCGAGCACCGTTGATCTAGTTTCCAACTCTAATTTATTTCTTTGCTGGGATTGCCTGCAGGTGATCGACTGGAATGGAGATGGGCTTTTGGATTTGTTTACCGACAGCCGGGTCTTCTTGAGGAGCCGTGCCTCAGAGTGGGTCCCAAGAAAAGGCAGTGAGAATCCTTTCGCCGGCTTATTGTTCGCAAATGCGCGACCTTATCTGGTAGATTGGGACTTGGATGGCCATCTTGATATGCTGGTGCGGGAGTCAGATCATTTGCGACTTATCCTTCAAAAGCAAGGCTGGGAAATGATGTGGGAATAAATCAAATCAAACGCTCAACGTAGAACATCTGAAACAGGTCTGAAAGTGTCTCTCTCAACTTGGTTTGTTTCATGCTCGTATATGTTGGTGCTTCCTGAAGCCGCTAATTTTACTGTAATCAGTAATCTGCGATTTGTCGAGTAGGTCCAAAGGCTACCCACGGGGATGCTGTGCCAGGAGTTCTCGTCGAAGAAACTTTGAACTTTGACATTGTCCCTTTGTCCTCGAAGAGCGTGAGGACTGGCATCGATGTGGTGGATTGGGATGGTGATGGAGATGCTGATCTTGTCGTGGCCACTTTTGAGGGTGTTCTCAGGGTGTTTGACAACCAGCAGGGAGAGCTTGTGGAATTAAACGTTCTTTTGCTGCATTAGTGTGCCTTATGAGCGGTAGGGCGGTTGCAGAAACACCGGAAAATACACTGGGAGGGGTTTGTGCTGCAAGCTTTTGACTTGATCTCCAGGCATGGACAGTTTGTCGCTGCAAGACAATGCTGACAAGACCTGCGGCTAAGAAGTAGAGAATTATTTAAGGAATAGGCTTTAGGAGTCGCTGCCGGTGTGGTGCTCTGCACTCGCCGAACGCAGCGCACCCGCTCGAGACGGGGCGACGACACGATGCTATTGCATGCTTAGCTATAAAAGCTGTTTCTGGTCCTTGGCTTTGATTTCTTATCGCGATGAAGTCTAAATATGCCATGTGCATGCAAATTATTAGCTGATTTGGTCTTTGTTTCGGTTCGCTCTCTTGCTGGCGCCTTGCATGATCATTTTGCTCACCCCTCGTCCGTGTGACAAGCAGGACGAACTTGCCACCGATAGGCAGTCGCCAAAGGGAAGAATCACACCAGTGTAAAAAGTAACAGCTCTTCGAGATGATTTTATGACGCAACCCCCATGAATCAAATGCCAGCAGTTTACGTAGCAGAGAACGCGTGCATGATGCCAATGCCTACGGCAAAATGTCCACAAACGTGCCCATGCTGCGAACGCAGTAGAACAAGAACAGAGAACATATGAATTAAGACGGATTGTCTTGAGCTCCTGACTAGGATCCAAGAGACAACCTGACGCTTCATGACTAAACCCCTCTTGGCAGTCCGGGCCAGTCTAGCTACATATAGCTATATCGGCCATGCCACCGTACAGTACGAGACTGCTTATTAAAATTCAATTCCTTGAATCACATTTTTCAGTAGCTAGTTTGACTGTTCCTATTCTACTCCGGGGAGGAACCATCCATCAATGAAACCAAGCATCGCCGTGAGCTCTTTCCCTCCCACGATTTCAACATAGATTGGTATAGATGCATCAGTCGAGCCAGTCACAGTCTCAAGATCATTCTATCCCTAGACTTTTGTCAGCAGCGGAGTGATTCATCCTTTTGTCAATCTAAATAGCGAGGCTTTCAACTACTGTACTGTATTTGTATGTATTTGTTTTTTCTCACAGAACGAGCTTAGGGAGTTTGTGTCTTCTTTTTTGTGCTTTTGTGTTCTCTCGGTTGCTTCAGGCTTCAGAACAAGATTTTTTGGCTACGGATGTGCTGGCGTCTTTTGTAGCTTCGGACCACGTCCTTTCTGATCGAAAGCGGGAGTTGGGACTCCAGCTAGTGGATTGGGACCGGGATGGTGACTTGGACCTCCTCATCGGCCCATGGGAGCTCCAAAGCTCGTCGTATTGGGTAGCCTGGAGCTGTTTCCAAAGTTTTCGCTGTACCAAGGCACTTTTTGACTCCCCTTTTTTGTAGATCCTCTTGAATCTATAACTTGTTTATATATATGCATTATATGCTACACCCTCCCCAAAAAACCTACCTTTTAGATACGTTCACTGGTATTTGCAATGATTTGGTGAGATTTCAGAACACAAATTGAACAGCATAGCAATGGTAATGCTCATGGCAATGCAACTAGTACTGCTAATGGCCATTCACCCTTGACCTGTGGCAATGCTATGTGGGACCTTGATGCCATTCACCACAATGCCATTTTCCCTGGTGGAAGCTAGATGTTGATGCTAATAGCAATGGTAGTGCTCATGGCAATGCTAATGGTACTGGCAATGGTCATTCACCCTTGACCTGTGGCAGTGGTACTGGTATGTGGGACGTTGATGCCATTCACCATAACGCAATTTTCCCCGTGGCCCGTGGCTCAAAAAGTGATCCAACTCCTTCACTGGAAGCAGTGCGGGTTCTTTCAAACAATGAAAATGCTCACTCAAAGACTGCATCTTTGCCATGCCAGCAACTATTGCATGTGGTAGCAGAGCAGTTTTTTCCAGAAAGCTTCCAAACCTGAATGCTAGCAATATAGGCCTGATTGCCACCAATAGCAATTTAATGCTTATGGCACTGGCAATGTCAATGGCAATGCTAATGCTGATGCCAATAGCGGTGGCAATGCTATATAATGGTAATGGCTATTCACCGTGTGACGTGTGGCAATACTAATGGCAATGGTTATGCTCATGACAATGGTTATGGAATGCCATTCGCCCTTTGACCTGTGGGAGCTATGCACCTATATGTGCATTGTGACCTGTGGCAGCTTGATTCCATTTACCCTTGAGTTGTGGTACTGGGAATCCAAATGGAATTGCCAATTGTAATGGTGCTGCTGATGGATGCTAATGAGGTTGTTTACCCTTGACATGTGGTGATGCTAATGGCAATAAAAATGCTACTTGCAATGGTGGTGGGGTGCCATTCACCCAGTGAGCTGTGGGAGCTTGATGCCATTCACCATGCTAATGGAAACGGTAATGCCATCCCCTGTGGGAGCTTGATGCTGATGCTAATAGCAATGGTAGTGCTCATGGCAATGCTAATGGTACTGGTAATGGTCATTCACCCTTAACCTGTGGCAGTGGTATGTGGGACGTTGATGCCATTCACCATAACGCAATTTTCCCTGTGTGGGAGCTATGCAGCCTGTGACCTGTGAGAGTGGGAGCTTGATGCCGTTCACCCTCGGCCTGTGGCAATAGGGGTCATAATGGCAATGCCAATGCCTGCGGCAATGGTAGTGCAAATGGTGATGGCAATGCAAATGCAATGGTGGTGATAATGCCATTCACCCGGTGAGCTGTGGGACCTTGATGCCAATCACCCTGTGACCTGTAGCAATGGCAATGCTAATGACAATCGTGATGGTAATACAATTCACCCTTTGCCGGACCTGTGCGGGTGAGCTGTGGGAGCTTCATGCCATTCACCCTGTGACCTGACCTGTGGGAGCTTGATGACCCACAGGTAGTACCTCGGGGGGGGTAGGACCTCGGGGGGGTCGGCCAAAAAAATAGATACCACCAAAAGCAAACCTTTTTTTTGGGCCCGCCTCCTCAGATCCAGTGAGCTAGGAAGACTACTACTCACGAGCAGACAACGAGCACCTCCCAACAACTACGACGTCTCGTCCCCAACGTCTGAACACATTCAACATGCAAAGTCCTAAAACAAGCGTTTTCGAGAACACTGGAAAACACACACCTGCATAACGTCCTTTTCTGATATATATATATATGTATGATATATGCCCCTTTCAATTGGCTGATAGATTATCATCTCCAAACATGAACTTGTCTAAAAGGTAGGTTTTGGGGGGGTGTACCGTAACACCGTATATATATATATACTTTTTCGCGGGAATGTGTATGCTGTGCATGTCTGGCCTGTGCTTGGATATTGAACCGCTTACGCATGATCGCCCAGTTTGTGCTAAAAAGAGCTCTGTAAACGTGACAAAAGGGCTGAAGAAAGACATCACGGCGCTGTCAGGAAGCCTACGTTGGAGCTGCGCCCCTTGTCTGTGTTTTTTCAATCGACATTCTTGCCGATTCAGAAACCATGTCCGACAATTCAGCAACTACGATGGGACCATCGCCAAAATAACGTTCGAGGTGGTTGCCACGGGGTTGGAAGATAAAAATGTGAATGTTTCGACATTTCATTGTCATGATATTTCCATCATATGGCTGGAATGGGGTATGGGAGGGGGTGGGGGGAACCATGGCCAAGACAACTACGTTTGATGTGGTTGCAAAGGGAAGGTCACAGTCACAGCACCGTCTCAACCGATCTCCGCCCCAACCTTTGGAAAAGGCGTTACGAAGAGAGGTCGTTTTGTATCGGTGATCGGGTCATCAGTTTATTCTTAAAATGTATAGTATTGGTTACAGTTTTGGACAATAATGGACAGACGAGCTTTTGGTTGCCGAATCATCCGCTTTGGTTTTGGTTACCGGATCAACGTTTTTAGTTACTGTACCGAATCAGAGCTTTTGGTTACCAAATCATAGTTAACAAATTTACTGTTTGGTTTCCGAATCAGTTGGATTTTGGAGCCAAGCAATGTTGTGCGGTAGCAATTCGTACAGCTTTGGTCAAATGGCTGTGTCAAGACTGAATCTTCAAGGCCTGAGTCGGGTGAAACAAAGTCTGACCCTGCAGCTCCAAGGTTCTTTGAGCAAGTGGAAGGGAAGTTAGTGCGGCGTGAAAACCACAGCTTTGAGCGTGTGAGCAAGCCACTTGGCTTCTTATTGCCGCAGGCCCTGGTTCTGGTGGCAAGGAGATGTTGCGTAAACACTACTGGCAAAGACTGGTCAAGTCAAACCATCGTCATAGTGGTACCGCAACTGCATGTACGTTGTTGAACCTTAGGATAGGTCCTTATCGCCCGGACTGGGCGTGGAAAGTGCTGGACTGTGATGGCGATGGAGAGCTGGACTTGGTTAGACTATGGTACGATCGTTACAAGTCGTACTCGATTCAAGGCGCAGTCTCTTGCAAGCAGCAAGGTGGCGAGCTTCTATGTGAGAACCATTGTTTTGTTGAGCCTGTCCTAAAGTATGCAAAGAACGGTTTTGCGCTCGGGGATTGGGACAATGATGGTGACATGGACCTAGTGGTGATCAAGGAGGGTTCAGCCAGAGAGCCCTTTTTGATGGACAATGGTTTTTGCGTGCTGGAGCAGGCCTGCAGTGGTATTGGTCGTTGCTTGGCTTCGGGTCAGTGCTCTTGCCCCAAGGATCGGTCACTGAGCGATTGCTCTGGTTGTGCTGTGGGCTATTACACACCAGCCTATCAGATTGGCGGCAGAAATGTCCATGGCTGTGAAAGTTGTCCAGTTAACATGAAAGAGGCTGTTTGTGCCGGTCGGGGTGTTTGCGTTGATGATGCTTATGCTCATTATGCACAGTCTTTGCAGCAGACAAATCTCACCAGCAGGACAAGGGGCAATGGCTCTTGCATTTGTGCCACAGAACATTTTGTCGGACTTGACCAACTACAGCGCCAGACATGTGCACAGGGCACGTGTCCTGAAGGCTATATGGAGACTGCTGTGAACGTGACGCATTTGTTGCATCCGCAAGTTCAACTTAGCTTCGGGTGTCAGGTCTGTCCTGCGGGGAGCTTTTCAAATGGTGGTCGCCCGTGCAAGCAGTGTGAGGAAGGTGAAATCCCATCTGAGGATGCTACCTCCTGCTTGGCTTGCAATGAGCATAGGGGCTTTCTGGTCTTCATGGTAGATGAAGCTGGCTTGCACTGCATTCTGCCTCCTTTACAATGGGTCGCCTTGGCGGTTTTCTGTTTGGCCCTGGTCTGCTTCGTCCGCTTTTTGGCCATGGCATGTTGCTATGTGGTGCCCATTGCAGATCTCACCAGGCAGATCGATGGAGTCATCGCCACTGAGCTGAACGCTTGAAAGCGTTGTTGAAACGTTGTGAAAGGTACCATGTTCGAACAGCTGCCATATTTCCAAGCACTTTCCTGTTGGGGTTCTTTCTGATGGAAAGATCGCCGGGCACAGTTCGTGGCCGCGCTAGCAGATTCTGCGTCCGGAAACTGTCCTCCTCTTGTCCTTTTGCTTTTTCCCAAAAGCATCTCCGATGCTTGGGTTCTCGTTTAGTCGCTAGTGCCGCGGAAGAGCGAGACAAAGCGTGCGTTGACGGGGACGGAAGATGGATGTGGAGGTGGACGGGGTTGGGGACGGGGCTGGAGAGGGAAGATGGAGTGTGGACGGGGCTGGGGAGGGAAGATGGAGGGGAGTGAGAGGTGCGTGGGTGTGGACGGGGCATGTGTGGACGGGGCTGGGGAGTGCATGGGTGTGGACGCTTGCGCGGCTGATATGCTAGTTACGAGGACATGGTTGCGCCACAAGCATCCTTGCAGGCTGCGCCGGGTCAGTGCACAAGTAGAACGAAGCATGGGTGGGGGTAGCGCTGCTCCATGCTTCGCGGAAGCACGTTGGGAGGTGAGTGGAGCTGTGTTGCGGGGCTTATACGATGGTCTTGGGTGTCCAAAATGTGCACAATGCATGCGCCAGACAGTCAAGTCATGGCCGACACGGCAGGATTGTTGCGTGCCAAAAGCGCCATGCGTGAAATTGGATGGTTGGAACGAACCATGCAGGGGGGCTGATGCTGCTCCATGCTTCCTGGAACGGTTGTCAGAAGCCATGTTGCAATGTGGTTGGAGACTAGCTGCAGATTGAAAACAGCCACTTGATATTATATATATATATAAACAATACATCCAACCTCCAACCTGACTAAAGAGGGAACCGTCTTGTTTTCTTCTTACTGCAACGATATTTCTATCTAGGGTCTATGCCGGTGTAAATTCTTAAGATCGAAGCCCGCAAAGGTTTGTTCGAGAAAAACAAACGACAAATCCTCTTCTCCTGGGATATCTCCGCCATATCGACGCCCTGATCATGCCAACGATGCACGCCACCGGAAATCCATGCCAAAAAATTAAACACTATAGACGACGAATGACCCGAAAGCATTATACCGCGTGTGATGCACTGTAGCGCTGGCACAGCAGTACACATGTGTGTGCTTTTCCCAAAAGAATCTCCGGCGCTTGGGTTCTCGTTTAGTTTAGTCGTTAGTCGGGGGGCAGAGCGAGACGAGGCAAGCATTTTCGTGGACGGAAGATGGGTGTGGACGGGGCTATATGGATGGAGATGGGAGGGTGGACGGGGCTGTGGAAGGAAGATGGATGCTAAGTAGAACGAAGCATGGGGGGCTAATGCTACTCCATGCCTCGCGGAAGAACGTTATTGTGCGAGTGGAAATGTCTGGCGCGGCCTATATGACGGTCTTGGGTGTCCAGAATGTGTGCAATGTATGCCGAAGGCAGCCCAAGTCATTGCAGAAACGGCGGGGTGGTTGCATGCCAGAACCGCAATGCTTCAAATTTCATGGTTGGAACGAAGGGTTGTTAGAAGCCATGTTGCAATCGTGTTATGACCGTTTTGAAGGGCTTTCAAAACTGACCAAGGGGTGGACCGGGGTGTATATGGCAGACGGGGCGGGACGGTGGTGTCATTGGTGTCATCACCGGTGTCATCATGTGCCACCGGCAATGATTCCAAATGCCGCCGATGTTCAGGTCACAAGTCATGGAGAACATTGGCTCCAGCGCGATGTGGCTGTAGCTTTCAAACACGCAGAAATCCCTTGGCTAGACACAGGCGAGTGGCGAGTGAAATGCGTCAGTGCCCCGGCTGTGATGTAGCTGACGATCCGGCTGGCTGGTTTGTGATCTTACATCCGCCTGGGTCATTTGAGTAGTGTATCAAGGTATATAAATGTTGTTCCTTGTGGCTGTTCAACCCCAAATTTTCTCAAGCTTTATTTCTAGATCTTAGATCCAGTTGAATTGTTGTCTATACATGTTTATACTATCTGTACAAAATTCAGGGGGACCTCGGAATATGCAAGCTACAGTACATTGTTTTTACGGTTTCGGTTTGACGGAGAAAGGGGGACATGTATCTTATATTTAGGGAGGTCCCCCTTGCAATTTTCGCAAGTTTGATATTTATTGCATGTTTTGAATGTAAGACAAACATAAGGAAAAAAGAACTGAAAAGGAAGAAAGGTCGAAAGCAAACGAGAGGAAAGTGACGAAAGTGGAATCTCCTCAAATGTAGGCAACATTTTTGGATATCCCTGAAGCAATGGCCTAGAAACTCAAAAACAACAATTGAAAACGGCAGAACTAAAGATGCGCGCGGGAAAAGCAAACAATAACGTGTCCAGGCAAGACCGCCTTGTCAGACTGGATGTGCATGGAAGCATTTTCATCTCACCAAAAAGCCGAAACCAACAGAGAAGCACTGTGAAAACCATTAAGTAATATTCTAAAAACATATAGGTGGTTTTCTTTATCGCTCTCTTCCGTTGTGTCTTTGTGTTTCTTCCCAGAACGGGGCGGACACCGTGGCCACCACACCTTCGGTCAAGTCCATTTGCTCGTTTTGAAACCTTGCTTGCCTTTTCGGCCACCTGTGCGGGACGTGCGAAAGTGTTCGGCATTTTGCATAGATACACGAAACCAACCGGCCGATGAGTGGCCCGAGTTCAGCTGATAAAACGGGGCGCACTGCGTTTGCTTCCGCGAACATGGTAGCGGAGCCGGGCAAAGTACCGGCTCCGGCTCCATCCGGTCACGCGATGCCATGGTGGCTTGCGCTTGTTCTTTTGACGATTGTGACCGTGGATGTTGAGCTCTACCAGGGCAACGACGTGTACTACCAGGAGAACAAGGAGAAGATGATCGCCTACACGGACTTGGTGACCTTGGAGGACCTTGGTGAGGATTGGCACGTCACGAACTTGGACGTCGAGCAGGTGATGAAGGATGAGGAGGAGCTGAAGAAGCAGTGGATTGGTACCACTGAATGTGCACGGATTGGACCCGTGGTTGGCAGGGAGCTCATGACTGAAGGTCAGTGCAGTCAACCTGGCAGGAATTCAACTTGGAACTTCTCAAAAGTGCAGGATTGGGACCTGGACGTGGAGTTGAGTCGATTGGCATGTCGACCAGTTGGAGATCGGTGCTCTGACTTTCTGATCTTGATTGGAGAGGTGATGGTCGTGAGCTTGAAAAGCTACTTCACCGACGTGAAGAACTCCTTTCTCGACTTTGTGAACCCGTTCCTCCAGGAGTATGGCTTCTACCAGATCTGGAAGAAGGTGAACGAGATGATTGGTTGGAGAGCTATGTGTTTCTTGCTCTTCCTGGTGGCATATGGAGTTGGTTTGACAGTGAGCCAAATGCGCAAGTGCAGAAGGTTGGCTTCGAGGAGAACTTTGACTACGGGCCACTTGGGCTGTTATCGACAGAGAAGATGGAATGGCAGGCTACGTGGATGCTTTGAGAAGAAGTTGCAGCTTCGTGGCTTGGTCTTCATGACCCTTTGGTTGAACACCTTAGCCATGGACCAAGAGCAGATGAACAGATTGCTTGCTCAGGTGATGACTTTGGCAGATGCAGCAACCAATGCAGCAAGAACTTCTTCGTCTGTCATGGAGAGGATGGAGAACTGAAGAGATGGTGGCGGTTTCAGTGAAGCGTCTAAAGTCCTCCGACCACCAGAGACATTCGACGTCGATGACCCCATGAAGTATGTGTCTTGGAAGGAAAGCTTCACGAACTGGCTGACCTATGGCAACTACAAGTACTCAGAGCTCCTGAAGGATGCGCAGGCTTTCGGACTTCGCCAGCGAGGAGGTCAAGGAAATGGCCCGGAAACTATATGCCATATTGGCATCCTGTCCGGGCAGCCGCTGGTGAGCGGAATGGATTCCTCGTGCGGCAACAGTTGAGGGATTTGTATATCCCAAGGGCAAGGCCAAGGACGATGGCAATTGGGCAAGCTATAATGAGCTACCCTTCTTTCCAGCAAAGCAAAAGATCAGTACCAGTTGGCCTCAGGACATCCAATGCCAGAAGATTTGGTGGTGGCCACAGCTCTTCGGTGTGTGGCTCCAAATGTTAGGCAGCACCTTGAGCTGACGCAAGACGACAAGATACACTACTACAGCCTCAAGGAACGTCTCATCCTGATGGACAAGAAGGCTTGGAGTGGAGATTCCTATCTCAAGATGGTCCAGCAGTCGATGAGCACAAGTTCAGGTGGACCCACGCCAATGGACGTGGATCAGATCGGCCAGATCACCAAAGGCAAAGACAAAGGTGGTGGCAAGAAAGGTGGCAAGAGCAAGAAGGGTGGATGGTTACCTTTTGGCTATGGTGGCGGCAAATATGGTGGTGGCAAAAGCTACAAAGGAAGGGGCAAGCAAGGTGGCAAATGCAAGAAAGGCAAAGGCAAGTATGGTGGCCGCCGTGGAAAAGGAAAAGGAGGAGGTGCAAACAACAACACCTGTCGTATTTGCGGTCAACAAGGACACTGGGGAAACGAATGCCTAGCAAAGCTCAAACGGTGACTCAGCAAAACTTTGCGGAGAGTGAGATTGCTAGTTCAGCTGCGGGCAAAGCAAGATCGACAACTACATCCTCAGTGGCTTCAACCAATGTCCCAAAGACAGTGAGGCAGGTGACTATACCATGTTGCAACACCTCGTGAAGAACAAGAGAACCCTGTTCTCTACGAAATCCAAAGTGAAGGTGGTGAGAGCTGGATCTATGATGACCACTATCAGGTAAATGTGGTGAGCTACAGCTTGTCTCATGACTCTGAAGCTGAAGAGACCCTTGAAGACTTCATCGAGGACAAGACCAACAAATGGTACTGCAACTTGAAGACTTGGCGCTACCGCATGGAAAGAGAGGAAACGAAACCAAAGCTCTTCCACGTGAGCATGGTGAGAAGCGCCCAGGAGAAGATGTTGATCGTCCTGGATTCTGGTGCTGACTGCAGCATCCTTCCAAAAGAGATGGCCAGCAGGGGACGACCTCAAGAAGGCGGCAAAGCAGTGTTGGAAGACGCTCAGGGCTCCCCGTTGAAGGTCTGTGGAAGGAAGTTGGCTCAGGTCGAATGTGACCTGGGCATGGCTGGATCTGTCATCATTGAGGACGACTTCATTGTGGCTTCAGTGCAGACACCTTTGGTGAGCCTTGGGCGCCTTTTGCAGCCGCTACTACACCTTTCCTGATCCAGATTCCTGAATGTGGCGGTGAAGAGACTCAAGTTTTGACCATTCTACATCGCGAACGCGAGCCAGTACAATGCTTTGGAACCATCGTCGGTGAGCGCACCGCAACAGCTGGAGGCGCCAATGTCCAGAGTGGTGACTTCCTCTTTGAGACCGAGCCTCAAGTACCTGATGAACTTCGACCTGAGAACCAGGTGACGGAGGAGGAAGTGGACCAACATGATTCAAGCGACTCCTGGGATGGACCTATGCCAGTGTTTGACAACCGTGCCAATTTGGTAGTGAATGATGTCGACCTGACAGCAGCTTGGCAACCCTCAGGAGTGCAGCAGAGTACTGGTGGTTCAAAGAAGACCTTGTTGCACAAGCTCAACCAGCAGGTCCAGAAGCTTGAACATCAACAGCTCTTTACATCAGCCAACAGGCTGTACAAGGAACAAAACAAACACAAAGGCTTGGTGCAAGTGGCAATTCCTCGACAACCTAGCCAGCAAGAACGTGAACTTCATGAACTAGTGCACCTACCATACCAGCCTTGGTGTGACGTGTGTGTTTCTTGCAAGAGTCGAGCAGATCCCCAAAGACCTTTGGACTTGTCAGAGGAAGAGCGGCGGACATCTCCTTCAATTCAGCTTGACTATGGGCTTGGAAGATCAGAAGGCAAGACCGCTAGCCAAACAGCTTTGACAGTTGTCCTTGTTGGGGTGGATTGTGAGAGCAGGATGTTGATGGCCATGCCAGTTGAGAGCAAGGGTACAGACCTTCGTGGGCAAGCAGAACAGGTGACGAAGTTTTCACTTGCCATGAGCCACTATGGAAAGCTGGAAGTGGTTGGAGACAGCGAGCCGACAATGAAGAGCCTGCTGACTTTAGTCAAGACCCTTCGACAAGGCCTGGGACTCGAAACCGTGTTGACCTTCAGCCAGAAGAAAGGCCAGACTGGCCGTGTGGAAAGGGCGATTCAAACGCTGAGGAGACAGGCCTCAACTCTGGTGAAGATCGCAGAAGATCGTTGCTTGATTTCATTGCCGGGAGATCATGCTTTGTGGAGTTGGGCCTATGTCCATGCAGCCTGGGTGATAAACCGCTTCAGCCGCCATCGGGCGGCACAGATGGCACCTTTTGAGCTGGCTTATGGCAGGCGCTATGTTGGAAAGGTTGTGTGTTTTGGGGAGTATGTGGTGGTGCTCAGCAGGCAGCCTGGATTGAAACAAGGACCACAATGGATTCCAGGCATTTGGGTTGGAAAGACAGAAGAAGATGACCTGCATATGGTAGTGGCTTCCTCTGGCTTGGTTCGAGGTAAGGCAGTCAGACGGACAGGACAACCATGGAGATCCGTCTACCTTTTCATGGTAAAGGAGAAGCCCTACAGAAACCCAAACACGAAAAGACCTTTGAGACTTCTACCTATGACTCCAATGACTCCTCGTGCAGTTCGAGGACCTGGCAAAGGGCATGGACCTGACCGAGACGGCGGAGGTGAAGATAGACCTGATGGACCTTCTGACGCCCAACCAGGGTATCATGATGTGAGAGACCAAGACGCCGATGATGTGATGCAGTATGCTCGAGATCATCCCGGTGGCACTCCTTTGGAGACGAAGAGAGAAAGTGGTGTGAAGCATGGTGGGGAAGAAGTTGAGAAGACAGAGCAACCAGCATCCAAGTTTCTCCGAGTACCTCCTCTACCTATGGGTATGGATGAAGACGAAGCCGTCGGAAACAAAGCTCCTTTGACACCAGAGCTTAAGATCCCTTCTACATCGACCTCCAGTAGACCACAAGAGATGTTGGATGATACTGCAGAGAAAGAGCCATTGCCAAAGATCCCCAGAGTGAGCAGTCCAGAAGGCAGTCCAACACATCTCTATGCACCTCACTATGCTGGTGGTGTGAACCGCATGAAGAGCAGTGGGAAATGGAGGTGGAAGACTTCCTGAATGGTGAACAGGAAGCAGAATGGACCATGGTGGAACTCGACACCGTGGACGAAGGACAACCTCCACAAGTGGATGAAGAGACTATGAAAGAGATCGAGGCTTCTGCAGGGCAAGAAGAAATCAGCAGACTCTTGAGTATGGGAGTCATCAGAGAACCCACAAACCAAGAGTTGGAACAAGGAGAAATCTTGACGACCAGATCAGTCTATGACTGGCGCTTTCGTGATGGCAAATGGAAGAGACGGTGCAGATTTGTTGCGCCAGAGTTCCAAGGAAACGATGTGTCTTCCTCCAAGACCTTTGCGCCAACATCTTCGATAGCAGCAACTAGGCTGGTGCTTGGTACCCACGTGATCTTGAAGTGGCACCTATGCTTCTTGGACATCAAAGATGCTTTTCTGTTGGTGGACCAACTTCGTCTGGTGCTGGTAGAACAACCTACGTGGTGGAAGGCAGATGAAGGCAATGCAAATGGTGGACACCGACGTTTTTGGACTCTGGCCAAATGTCTCCCAGGACAAAGAGATGCAGCAGCTAGGTGGTTTGACTTCTTGAGCGATCGCCTTCGAGATCTTGGATTTCAAAGCCACATGAGTTTGCCTTCATTCTTTCGACGTGAGAGCAGACAGATTGGTGCAGTTTGTCATGTCGATGACTTGATTGTGGCTGGACAGCTTGAAGACCTGCAATGGCTGCTAGACAGGATGAAGAAGAAGTTTGTGTTGAGTGAGTCTGGCATCCTTCCACGAGATGGACAACCTGTTGATGAGGCAGTAAGATGCCTGAAGAAGGAAGGCCTGGTGATAATGCCTCATGAGAAGTATGTCGCAGGACTTTTGGAGTTGTACAACCTCACCAACCGAGCAGGCAAAGCTACTCCAGAAAGTACACAGGTTGATTTGGAAGGAGGACCAGAAGACAAGCTTCAAGGTGGAGAACAGCATCGCTTTCGCTCAGCCTTAGGCACGCTCCTGTACATCTCCCAGGGCAGGATTGATATCCAGCACTGTGTCCGGAACCTCTCGCAGTTCATGGCTATGCCTACAAAGAAAGCTGAAACAGAGCTCAAGCATGTGATTTGCTATTTGAAGAGGACCGAGAACTATGGCCTTTTGCTTCCATACACCAGGAACAAAAGTAAGAAAGCTGAGATCCTCAACTTGGCTGACGACTTTGGTGACTTCGACCTCTTGGAAGCATTCACTGACAGCGACTGGGCTGGTGATAAGTCCAGTGAGAAGAAAAGAAGGCATTCAGTGAACTCAGCCATGTTGTTTTTGAATGGATGTCTTGTAGCTGGATGGTCGAGATCCCAGAAGGCAATTTCCTTGAGTTCTTGTGAAGCCGAATTTTTGGCGGCAGCTGGAGGTGCAGCAGAGTCCATCCAGATCAAAGACCTCTGGCAGTTTCTCAGCAAGCGTGAGGTGAAGATTCGATCCATCACGGACAGTACCTCTTGCAGAGCTTTCACAGAGCGGCTTGGAGTGGGAAGGTTGAAACACATCGACGCTCGCTACTTGTGGATGCAGCTTGAAGTCAAGAAAGAAGTCCTCACTATGGCTGGCATCCCAACGCTCTGGAATGTTTCCGATTTGGGAACAAAAAGATTGACAAGGCAGAGGAGAGAGTAGTGATGAGCAATTCACTCCAGTTGGAGAGGATTCCTTCAACGAAGTGGTGACCAAGAAGTTGATGGCCAGAAGAATGAAAGCAGTGAAGGGCGAGATGCTCAAGAGCCTAATGGATGAATCCAGTGAAGCCAAAGTAAAAGTGCCTACAAGTATGGTACGTGCAGTGACGCTTTTGTTGCTTCAACCTGGCGTGCTTGACATGGATGGCAACAATGAGACCACCGAGGAGGAGGTGAAGATCAACTACATCAGTCACTTGTGGTACCTTCAATGGTTCTGCATTTACAGCATGTTCATTTTCCTTTTGGGCATGTATGTTGGCTACAAGTATCGGATTCGACTTAGCATTTTGGTTCGTACTGCTATGCGGTTTTTCAGACAGGAGATCACCATGGAGATGCAGCGACAGAATGACGAAAGAATGTTCAGAGAAGGCATTTTGCAAGAAGCCCGTGAGCAAGAAGTCAGAGACCGAAGAAGTGGAAGAGATTTGCTTTTGAGGGCTCAGATGTGGTCTGCTGCAGGTGGGGAATGGAGATATGAAGGACGCACTATCTTTCCAGACAACCCACTTCGACCTGCAGCACCTGACCGGCAACTAGAAGTAGAATTTCGAAATGAACCGGGAACTGAGCCAAGTGAAAGCCAAGAACGAGATGGAGACTATGAGTGGATTGGTGAATGGACAACAGATTGGGATCCTCCAGTGCTCCAACGAATGGGGGGGTACCGAGTCCTGGAAGGATCTGAAGATGCAGAGAGTGGAGAAGAATACTTCACCGGCAACAAGACCACAGGGCTCTACAGAAGGTATCGACCAACAAGATCAGAAAGAGAAGCACCACAAAGTGGAACAGAGCAGGAGAACGCCATCATGGATGAAAGCCAAAACATGGAAGTGGACATGGAGGCCAACGATGGAAGAGAACAACCAGAAGGAGTCTGGTCAGACTACGATAGACGTGAGCCACCAAATACTGCCAATTGGGATGACCTCGAGACCATCTACAAATACTTGCCACCAGATGAAGAACGACGACCAAGAGGCTGGAATTTTTCCAGTCAACTTGTTGAAAGAATTTCTACAAGCTCGAATTTCACAAATTCATGGACAACATGATCCCAGAGCAGCATTCGACCACGTGCTTAAGTGGAATGCTGATGAGAAGCGAGACTTCGTGAACTTCGCGATCATGGTCTTGTCAGGCCAATGGGAAGACAACTGGGACGAGCATGTGAGACGCTACTTTGACGAAGGTGTGGCGTAAAAAGAGCCACTAGCGTGTCACTTTTCAGGTGGGGTGTTCGTCATTTTGCATAGATGAGCACACCATGTCAAGACAGTTTGATCATGAAACCAACCGGCCGATGAGTGGCCCGAGTTCAGCTGATAAAACGGGGCGCACTGCGTTTGCTTCCGCGAACAGTAAGAATGTAAGTTACATGTTCCATCCCTGTTACCCTCCTAAGTGAAACTTAAAAAGTATTGTTTCACGAAAGGGCCTTGGAACATGTAAGCTACATTTTCCAAGGTCCCCCCTTATGGATTCGTATCAGGTCTCTGTGAGCGTGTTGCGAGGCAAGGAGCGCTTGTTCCTGTTCGCCAAAGATGAGAGCCGCCCCATGGAGACCTCCAGTGGCTGCCTTCGCGTCGGGCTTTGTTTTTTATTCAGAGCGACACTTCGATGGTTGGCTGATTGGGATTTCGGAGTTGTGCTGATTGAACTCGACATGGCATGCATGGCACATAGCGGATTTGAAACGAGATTGCGTTGATTGAAATGCTTGAGGCTACTTGGGAGTGCCTTTGGCACTTTGGTTGCTTTGCTTTGGAGCCCTGGCTTTGGCAGCTCTCTTGAGTGGATACTTGACTTTCTTGATGGCATCCTTTGCTGGAGTTGCTGCGATCTTCCTCGCCGTGGGGCTCCATGTTTATCGGCATTGGCGTTTGTGCTGCTTGGCCGGTCATTTGATCCAACCGCAACCGCAAAAAAAAAGTGTATATATATGAGCAAAGGTTTTTATTTGCGGTAGTGAAGATTAGCGGAAGCGGCGTTCCTTTTCTATAGCCCAATGTCAGATTTAGTTGGCGAAACGAGGCAGGAACACCCCGAGAACGAGATGGGCATTAACTGCGCCATTTGTTGGAAATGGTTTAGCTGGTGAAACGAGGTAGGAACAACTCTCGAGAACGAGATGGGTATCCACTGCACCAAAAACCGATACAGGAATGGAGAACGAGGTCACGCCCCAAAAACGATGCTAGATTGGAGAACGAGGTGAGGAAGGCCCATGTGATAACTTAACGGAAATATGTTCCGTTACATGTTCATGTAGTCCAGTGGGTGATATCTTCTGCTATGTCATGCCATGTTCTGCTTCTCTCTAGCTGAACACTTGCTTTTGTCAGACAGGTCTTGAGGGTCTAGTTGAGAGTTGTCTACTATGACAGGCTGTTCTGATTAAATTACATGCCAGTTCTGAATCAACTCTGAGTCTGAGATTGTGGGAGCTGGTTGAAGCAGTTGGAATCCGGCCCTCTCGAATGTCCTCCATACCTATAGGTCAGTTTATGAGATGTTTCCCAGCAACGAAACTCTGCACCCCATTATGAGAAGCTTTGCACATTTGTTTGCCAATCCAGACCCCGTTGCTGCTCAAGGTGCCAAGACACCAATCAATAAAAGCCGTGAGCAGTTCTTGCACCATTTGGCCAAGTCAATCTCCAAGCCTATCAGGGCTGAAAGAGGGTCAGCCCGTGGTGTGACCTTAAGACAGTTGCTCTTCTTTCAGGAATTCTTTGAAAGCTTTATTCGTGAGAGGGATATGTACTACACGTCGGCCAATTTGGTGGTGCCTTTGACCAAGAAGGACCACGTGTCTTATGCCGAATTGGTTGGCCCAACCACCTTGAATTGGTTTGTGAGCCACTACTGGGGCATGGGAGTGCGCCATTTCATACAGGCCCTCCAACGGCATGGACTCCATGTGGCAGGTGATGAAGATAGGAAGAACAGCCTGGCCTATTGGGTTTGCACCTTCAGCAACAGTCAGCACCATATCGTTGAAGAGCTTGGCGAGGGCGAGATTTGCAATTCTTCTTTCTTTAAGGCAATGCATGACAGATCGTGTCAAGGAACAGTCATGGTCTTGGACGAAGAAGCCTTGCCTTTGCAGAGGGCATGGTGTCTCTTTGAGGTCTTCCAAACCTTCCGATTGTGCCGTGAGCGAAGCAAGGAGGACTGGAAATCTCAAGAAAATGCTACACACACATGCACTGAAAGATTTCTGATTTCGATCGATTTTCAAAAGGTGCACTTGGCTCCTGCCTAGTCATGGCTATATAGTAGTTTGTGGTGGCAAAAAGTGACCAAACAGGAACAAACAGGTGTGCTTGTGCAAACCGTAATGTCATTGAAATTACTTTTTTTCTTTTCAGTGGTTCCTACTCTCAGAGTCTTCAACTTGTGCTGTGTCGCATCCCAGTGCGTCTCTCCCATTTTGCTTTATTCCATGCAGTTACGGCCGACAGCATGTCAGAGCATGTGAAGGATGAAGAGTCTGTTCATTACGAGGGCTTTGTGATGACGACGTCCTCAGGCGTTTTGTCTGCGGGGGGCGGCGGCACCGATCTTTGCATGGCCGTCGCAGATCGCCTGGCCGTGCTCGACATGCGCCAGGCCGAGGCCACCAATGTCAAGGACGAGCAATCGGAACAAAAGCAAGAAGGAAATGATAATAATTTGTTTTAAACAAGTCTATTAACTATGCTTTGATACGAGACATGTTATATAACTAAATTCGCCCACTAAAGCAAGAAACAAGCAAATCTTGGCTATCTCCGTGGGAAGATGCTTTGTTTTTTGTCGCTGCAAGCAAACAGAAATGGTGTTTGTTGGCAATGGCAAATTTAAAGACGGCAAAGATTTGGATTTGACACAATCAATGTGAAGATGTGTCAAGCTACGTCAAACTAGCATAGTCGAGTCTCGCAACTTCAGTTGTCGCAAAAGCTACAAAGTCGGAGAGGACCTTGAAATGATCCATGATTTGGTGGAGAACGCGCCAGGAGGCTCCTTTGAAGCATACCAAAAGGAGAAGATTCGATTTTTATCAAAGGGTTCAGGACTGCAAGACAGCTAGGTCTTGTCCATGCCAGGGGGAGAGGCTTGCCCGTTCTTAAAGTCTTTAGAGTCCTTAATAAAGTGTCTTATGACCTCGAAAGAGACATGTTTCATCTCGAGGCTTTGACTCCATCAATGCCCTAGTCCGCGTCTGCATTCGCGACGCACTCCTGACAGTTTACCAACGGTTCCAGGGCGACTTCCAGCGATTGATCACGAAGTTGAATGCCAGTGTGCCATCTTCTTTGGATGAAGTAATCATAAGTGAAACAAGCACAAGTGAGCCAAGACCGAGCATACCAATGTACAGCGAATTCACTTCTTCTCAAAGTTTCAGGCCACCAAGAATCTCTTTATTTCATCGTTTCAGCTGGTGAGACCTCTTAACTGATCTGACCATTTGCCTCCAATAGTGAGGACAGGTCAGGACACGCTGAGGGTGGCTTTGGAGTTAGAAACCATATTTCTTCTCTCGGGGGGCAGGGTGAGACAGGAAGTGGAAAAAACCATGACAAGGTTGTGCGTTTGTCAATGAAATTGCAATGCTTTGTCAATGAACCTGAACGGAGCTGACTTCCACACACCAACTCACTTGCACCAAACTCACACACACACACACACGCACACACACACACACTTTGACAAAGGGTTTTCAGTTACATCCATTCCTCATGGAAATGAATGAGGGAACGGAAAGGTGGCAAAGTCCGCGATCAACAGAATGTTGAACAAATGTTGCAAAAACGCTCAAGCGAAAGCGGCGATCAGCAGCTGCAATGCGGAGGGAAACCTGTTTTGTGGGAAGGTATCATAGAAAACCACCATGGAACCAAAAAGGGAAAGTGGAGACACAGCGTAATCAAAAGTTGCGGTTGCAGGTACGGGAATGTGCGTCCACATTCCCTTCCGGCTGAATCCCATCGCTTCGTTGGCATGGCTAGGGAAACAGCTGCCATGCCCCTGCATAAAACGTAAGCCGCTCGGGACGGGGTGTGACACACACAGTGTGCCGATAATTGGCGCTCAAGCAGTGGCGAGGTGGATTGTTTTCCACGCTTCAGAAAACGTTGGCAGGCTGAAGCCTCATGTCCCTTGCAATTGGAATTCTAAAATTCTTGAAGCCCTTATCGCAATCCTTTTCTTCTTGCAATGGCTCCAAGACTTTAAATCCAAGATCTTCTAGTCCATAATTGCCTACTGATTATCAACACTGATTCTCTCTCTCTCTCTATCAAATCTTCAACCTTTTCCTCTAGCTCCATCATCAGATTCAGAGGTATCGTCATCTCAACCAGTTGTGTTTTGCCGTATTCCTTGACCAACATCGTCCTATCCAAGGTTCTTTCTTGATTTATGCCATTCACCCCGAGAGATGTTTGATGATTAATAGAAAGAGAAATCCCTATCCATTTGCTTCCATCCGGACTGTGACTTCATTATCTCCTTAAGCTCGTTTCCAAGCTTCACTTCCATTGCATCTAGGACTCTTACAAAATATGGTAATATTTCCACCTTGCAAATTTTCGCCTATACAATCAGGTACTTGTATTGCATCTCCAATGGAATTTTGATATGACCCAAAAAATATCACCCTTGGTTGCGCCATACTGAAATCCTAGGGGTAGACGGCCAGAATTCAGAAAAAATCAGACAAAAATCAAAAATAATGAAGTCAGGTAGGACACCAAGAAATTACAGCAGAAATGGTGCTTTTTTGAAATCCTTTTGCTCAAGGTTAGGCGCCAGGATTTCAAAAACACGTTAGACTACATGATTTTACTAAAGCTGTGGGATTTCACAAGGTAGAGATAGTGGGGTTGGGCTAGGGTTTTAGAGATACTGGAGAGGACGCTTTTCGTGGACAATTTTTGTCAACCTTTTGCTGTGCCCTAGCTCCGAAATGCATAGAGAACGACACCCTGCAGCGGGACCAGCACCTACTCTCCAATGCGCACACGCCCACGCTTTTTGCAGCCTGGAAGCTTGTATCCATCGAAAAAAGATGTCCAGGGGGGATTCGAACCACAACGTCACCGAATCGCCTAGTGGTACCACAACGTCGCCTAGTGGTGCGTATGGGGCCATGTAATCAAGCAATTTATACACAATTTACAGGCACATTTTTTGGAGTGGTAGGTGACAGAGAATTCGGGCCATGTCTTTGCAAACATCAGAGCACCATATATGTATAAAGTAAAAGACGTCTTTTTACTTGGTCTTATAGTTGCCAAAGTAAAAGACGTTCTTTACGGAGTAAAGTCCTGCTTTCCACCATTTCCACGAAAAATTTTTGGAGGTCAACTTTTGCTATCAGTTGTGCAGAAAATGGAGCCCAATAAGACGAAAAATTTTTGGAGGTCAACTTTTGCTATCAGTTGTGCAGAAAATGGAGCCTAGTAAGACGAGGCCTTTGACTTGGAGGGTATGCGTTTGTGAGGGCACTGGAGGGAACAGCTAAGGTAGATACCTAGGATTTAATTAAACATTTGATCAACCCGGACTCCTTGTTTTTTCCTTGGTTCAAAGGCTTTTAAAATAAGCACCTCTTGGGAAAAAAAAACCTAGGGCACTATTAAAAAAATAGAAAATTATTTTGATTCGGTAGGTATTTAACACGTAAAATGCTGGGGATTTACTTATAGTTGTCGGTACTAAGGGGAACAAATAATGAATTATTTCTTGACTATCTATTGCCCATCCAATTCTTAATAATATTCCGAACAATAAAATAGGTCGTCGAATTTCATGTATAAAATGGATCTTTTGATGCATTTATACCTTACGATATTTTTCTTCTGCATGATGAATTATACATCTTTTTATCTTTGAATATTATAAAAATTATATATATTTTCCTGAAATAATTATTTGATTTTTATGAATTTATTATTATATAAAATTGTAATATTTGTATTAGAATTTAATATTATTGATTTATTTTCTTCTATTAAAAAGATAGGATTGTTTTAATGACGTTATTTTTTTCGTCGAATTCTTTTTAATCGATTATAAAAGGATTTGACGAAATTTGGAAGATTTTTTAATGAAATATATTGAATTTTTTTGATATTAATTCGATTGGCATTTATTATCGATAAAATTACTATAATTCTTTGATTGTTTTGATTTTATCGATATTTTTGGATATTAAATTTATATTAATTAATATTAATATTATATTTTAATGATTTTTAAAGATAATTTATTAGTATTATAAATTATATAATTTTGATTAATTTTATTTGTATTATTAAATGTTTTTTTATATTTCGGCAAATAAATAAATGAATATATATTGAATATATTTAAAAAATATATATATTTTTTTTTTTTTTTTTTCGATTTTAAAATATTATAAAATCTAATTATATAGATTTTAATTTAAGAAATTATATATATATATTTTTAATATAATAATGATTTTGAATTTTAAATATATTCGATATTAAATAATACTAAATAATTACTTAAATATTTATATTATTTTATAATTTTAGTAATAACTATAAATATATTGTATATATGTTTTAAATCATTTTATTTTCTAAAAATTTAATCGGATTGCTCGTATTGGGGAGCAGACAATAATACCTGGATATATCTGAATGCATTTATATTCTAAATTCGATTACAACAATTAATAAGCCTAAAATAACGATAGATTTTAGGATTAATACCAAATGGCATGGTTGCACGAAAATCATTATATTTCAATGTAATGCCATTATGTCAAAGAATGTTTTGATTATGATCTTTTGTCGGCATTAGATCCTTATAAATGATTCCTATCGTCATTATATATTATATCATTCCATAGCCAGGCCTCGAACGTCATAAAAAATAATAATGCGAAGAGGTATATATCGATTCCATTCGATTATATAGATTTATTAAAAATATAATAATGAACAATTATATATAAAATCATAATTAAAACATATTTATTATTATAAATATATCCAAGATGTCGAAAATCAATATATAATTATTTCTTCAATTATATATTTAAATCCAATAAATATATATATATAAATATTATCTTCCCCAATAATCATTATTTTAAATCAATCACCGAATTCATCCATATCCTATTAACTTTGCGCCGAATACACAATAAATCAATCTATCAAAAACCGCCCAAAAACATACTATCATACGAATCAACAACGTCCCCGACATATTATACAAAACTTATCACAAACTATAATGCCGTCTGTCAAAACAGAGATAGTGTCCGAAGAACTACGTGTGAGGTGAATGAACACGAGGATCAAACACAAGCGAATTGAGTGGTTAACCGAATGACCGCGGCCGCGCGCCGTTTTCAGCATTTCAAGCCCGCCCTGCGGTGCGAGCACGTCAACCTAGTTCGACGGCGTCCGAACTCACACCGGTGGTGGTGTTTAGTACGCCAAGGCCTGGAAAGCTAAAAACCAAGCCTGCATGTCGGTTCGCAAGCTTCCCCCACCCACTGATGGTGAGGAGTTGGGAAAATCCAGTGGTGACCTTAGATCTCCACAAAACGAGCAATGGCGCAGGACCAACCGACTTCTCTCGTTGATCTGGGGCGCCGTCTGGCAGTGTTCGTAGTGCCAAGCCACTCCGGTCTCGGATGCGATGACCGGTCG